CTTACATTTTTGAAATCTGCCTCTACTATGCCTTCCATAGATTTGTACTGTTGCTATTGCCTTACTTGTTTGTACCTACTTTGTTTAAATAAAGTTCATAAAAAAAGATAAATAATAATAAAAGTTTATAACTGGGCTTGTAATTTCCCACATTTTTGCATGAAGAAGGTATGTTGCCTCTCCTGTACATTTCTGCAAATTATTGGTAAAATATGCATTATCAATCTCCATAAATGTTATTAAATTAACTAAATATGCGTTCAAAACTGTGAATCAGTGGCATTTTCACCCGTTGTATTAATGTATTTAATGTGTTAACATTTTTTAACACAACGCGTGACGTAGGGACGTTTTGATGAACAGAATCGGTTTCAGAAAGCAGCAGCTGAGCGGCAGGAATGAGATGTGCAGGAAGGAACAGAAAAGAAGAAACAATTAAATCAAGACTTAGATTTGGCCATACAGGATTAAACAATACTTTATTCAAAAATAGAAAATTGGTAAACATAACACCGGTAGGTGTGAATACGCTAGCACATCTGACTACATATCCCATCATCCCACGCGGAGCGATCGCGCAGCGGTGACGTATTTCTCGCGCGCCGCGTCTTGTTTTACCAACATTATTGTTTATGTTGTGCTGAGCGCTACTACTCTATTAGTGACAGAAATAACCCTGTTAATTGAATCGGTGTGGTTTGGTATGTTTACTAAGAATTTTTTTTTCAAGTTTATTTATTATTATTACCAAAAAAAAAAAGAAATTAGCCGAATGTACGTTTATTTTGACGCTGGGCGGTTAAACGTTTTCTGATTCCGTTCTTATCCTTTCAGGTTTTCTTTAGTGATGTCTCAGCAGGCCCCGCAGACGGGCCCCGCGGCCCCTGACTCCCCCGTGCTGGTCGTCACGAGCAACGTGCAGAAATATGCCATGAAGAAGAAGAAGGTCCTGAATGCGGAGGAAAGTGAACTGTTTGAATTGACTCAAGCTGCAGGGATCACTGTGGACCAGGAAGTCTTTAAGTCAGTGTCTCTATTCGACCTTTCTGTGCTTTTTGTGATGAAGTGAACTCATTTCAGATCATTTTCAGGATTATTGTGGACCTGTTGAAGATGAACGTGGCCCCTCAGGCAGTTTTCCAGACCCTGAAGGCGATGTGTGCAGGCCAGAGAGTGGCTGAGAGCTGTGGAGACCCCTCAGCCTCAGCTGCCCACACAACCAGCATGACCACAGCACCCACAGAGGTCAAAGGTCAGTGACTAGGATATGCTCGGGAAGATTCTCAGTCATACAGGTCATAGTCATTCCAAAAAAAAGTTAAAAAAAAAAACAATCTGCTGGACTTTGTTTTCCAAGTTTGAAGAGATTTCTCTTCCCAACAAGGAAGCTTTTCTCAATTCAAAATGTCTGGAGCAGTGGTGTGGAAAGTACACACATATTGCAGTTTAAAAACACTCTAGTAAAAGTTGAAGCAACAACTTGACCTCTTTACTCAAGTAAAAGTGAAAAAGTATATGCTCCA